GAAGTTTTGTTTTGGTTTAGTAAATTTTTGATAGAATAAAGTTGGTAAAACGCGAAAAAATTGGAGATTCAAGTCTTTGTTTGAATTTTCTATAGACTAGGTTCATACCTAAGAAAATTTGGTAATCCATCCATCCGAACAAATTTTGGTAATCACGTGACCGTACGCCCGTCCGTCTGCACCACGGCATACCATTTTAAAACAATTCAGTTAACAGGTATAACACCACAGGCAACTCGAGGTGTTTTTGGCAGGAAATCATAATCACATAGCCACCCAGACTTTTAGAGACAAAAAACAACAACAAAGTCGAGTCTATTTCCGACGTTATTTCTGATGTGTACACTCACATAGATAACAGAGAAAAGAGGTAGAGCGAGTGAAGGAGAAGAATTTCGTTGGAAAAAAACCCTGAAGATTTCATAGCGGCGGTAAGAAAATGAGAAATGCTAGCGACCAGGAACGAGCGGCCAGCAAGATGAAAATGAGCGGCAGTGAAAAAAATAAAAGCGAACAGGAACACAAGCAACAAAATTTTTGGTGAGCACATACGACAATTCCTCCATAGCAAATAATGTGTTACTAGGAAGTTTCATGTTTTAGTCGTGCAAAACGGCATTTTATTTTTGGAATATCAGTCCATCGAGTGCCTCTTCAGTAAAGAGAGGTTTTGGGTTGAAATAGGGTAAAAAAAAAATGTTTGAAAGGAGATTCAAGGGACATGGCTGCACGCCAACAACCAAATGTCCCTAAAGTATGCTACCAAGATTATAAGGAATATGAAATCAGAAACTCAAGTTTTTCTAAAGATACAAACCACTGAAGATTTAAAATCTGGAGACTGTCTCTTTTGCATTACCCCTCCCCTTCCCGCTCCCCGTTAGATAAACACTAATCGAGCCAATCCCCAAATAATAACATCCTAGTCTTGTGATGAAGAACGTGTAAAACTTTCACTGAAATCGTCCTACAGTAGGAATTTTTGAATTTGTAATAAAATGGGCTAAATTTTACAAAAATAAGCCACAGAAAAGCTCAAAGGTCGATTTTATCCTGGAGTGTGATTTTTAATAGTGATCCGCACGGGAGAACTCTGCGGGACTCCCGGTAATCCGCTGGCAGAAATGTGCTGTTGACTCCCGATAACTCGAACCCTCGCTAACTCGAACCTCGCGCTAACCCGAACCAAAGTCGATTTCCCCTGGATTTCCTTCTTACATTTACTGTAATTTTACCCTCGGCAACTCGAACCCTCGATAACTCGAACCTCCCGCTAACTCGAAGTAATCTTTGTTTCCCTTCAGCTCATTTCTGTACAGTTTTACCCTCGATAACTCGAACCATGTTGTAAGCGCGTGACAAGTCGGGAAAAAAACCGTGTACTGAAGTCTGAAACATTGAATTTATTTCAAAACAACAGAGTAAATTCTTTGTCTTTACTTTTTTTGTCATTCCAGTTCAAATTCAGTGTCCACTCCTGTATACCTTGTTGCTTAATTGCCTTTCCTTCCCATCCATTTGCTTATTTCCTTTCTTCCGGTTATTTGATTCAAACTCCCGATAACTCGAACTTTTCTCGATTTCCCTCGAAGGTTCGAGTTATCGGGAGTCGACTGTAATTAAAACTTTATAAGCCTAAGGTTAAAAACAAAAATTTAGACTCATCCCAACACTCGCGAGTAAAACAAGGATCGAAGCCGACAAAAACAATTATCGGTAGTTTTGGGCAGAGAGCGATAAAAACTGGCCTGAAACATGAAAAATTTGCAAGTAAGCTTAATTAAGTAGAAATGTGCGGGTCACTCGACTAGCTGCAGATCATCCCCCATCGTTGAAAAGGCGCATAAAACCCAGAAGAAGAAAATCTCTCTTACCTTACGAGGCTGGTACCAACTAAGACAATCCACAGTGTTCTGCAACGTTTATTTGGGAGACCGCTGCATGTCCCGTGTTGGTTACAACCGTAAAGATAAACCATTGGACTGCGGACTTTGAATTGTGGACCCCATACAGGTTGTGCAAAATACCTGAATGCGTTATCGACGCGTGATGTTAAGATAGCGTGTTGGTCTTGATCCCAAAAATCCAAAAAATAAATAACGGAAGAACAATTCCAAAGTTCAGGATTTCCGATTCTACAAGCAAAATCTTCCCGGATTCTTTCCACACCGGCAGATTTCCGATTTCAGGCGATTCGACATTTGCTCATCTCCCATAACCCTAACCCTAAAACAGCATTCTTTACAAAAAAAAAGATAGACCGAGATCCCGGTTCCGACTCCACCCACGACCCCGACTCCGCTTTTCACTGACACCCCCCTAAACCCTAACCCTAAAACAGAAAACAAAAAACAAAAAATTGCCCGACCCCGCGTTTACTCACGGGGAGCGGAGGGGCGGTACTGCCATATATGGGCTATGTAGGTATGTGCCGCTGGGAAAGTTTTCAGCAGGTTTGGACTGGGATATGGATAGGGTATATAAATCAGAGAGCTAGGGT